CTTTGGTTCCAGGAGGCCCTGCAGTGTCATGGTGCCACTTGATTCCGTGACGTTAAAAAGAATCAGAACGGCCCCTTGATTTAAGGTCAACTGCACATGGGGTTGCCTTGGGGGGAGTGTGGGCACCCAGACAAGGGAGTTGTCACCCTCTTGGACCCTGGGGTCACCACATCTGGACTGGTCTGTCTGTCTGTGAGGTTCCCTATTCTAGAGGAATGAGGAAGAACTGGAGAGGGTCTAGAGGAGATCTGACAGGATGGAGCTTTTCTTGGTGTTGGAAAGAAAAAGAAACTCATAAAGTGCAGCTTGGAAGGTTCAAACTGGATGTGAGGAAGAAGTGTCACTCAAAGAGGAGCTTTGTGATGTAAGAGGTCAGTAAGAGAGTATCTTGCCCATCCCATGGCTTTGTTATCCAGGGAACAGCCAGAACTGGTGCAGAGACATCAGGGAGGGTCTAGAAATGCTGCTGGGAGGGGGGTGGGAAAGCAGGAGGGGTGTGTGCAGCCTGCAAGGCCAGAGCAGCAGCAGGGTCAGGGCAGGACAGCCTGCAGGAGAGATGGCCAAGGGCTCTGGCAGGGCTGCAAGGCCCAAAGGCACGCAGGCCTTTGTCCCCTTGCCTCTGGCAGCTGCCTCTGCCACTCAGGCCACCACAAGCAACTTGCCTTGCAGGTTCTGCACTTGGTTTCTGCCTTGTCCCTCCCTCAGGAGCCTGGCAGGGGTTGCCCTGTTTTGGGCCTTTGTTGTTCCTCCCCCTCCCATCCCAGTGCCCCCCAAACAGCCCTGAGCCAGCCGGGAGGGACAGGATCTGCTGGGCCAGGGCCTGGGGCTCAAGCCTTGGCCTTTGTGCTCCACAAAACCAAGGCAGGCTTTGCTCAGCATTGCAGGGGCCTGCCCAGAGCCTTTGTCTGCCTGCACTCCTGGCCTCCAAGGAGCTACTCAAAGGAGTCCCTGGGGAGGCTTTGTCAGTGCCTGCCCTCAGTGGGGCCCAGTAATGCTTCAAGGCACTTGGAGTTTGGCTTCTGACTTCTTCAGCAGCTGCTTCAATCTTCTCTCAGTACCTCAGGATCATGGGCTGGGCTGCAAACACACCATGGGGCTCATTAAAATCCAGAAATCCCTCAGGATCTCTTTGTCTTCCTTTAATTATCTTCAAGGTAATTTCAAAACAAGTCTTCAGGATTTGTACTTTTCTTTTTTTAATTCAATTATGGATATATTTTAGTTCAGAGAAGAGGTGATAAAGGTGTTCTCCAAGTGATCTTGATGCTGAGTGTCTCCTCAGGAGATCCACACTGACCCTGTATGATCAACCTCGCTCCTCATCCCCCAACCTCACCAGTTCTGACATGGCCCATCTTGGACTGACAGCTGATGCAACTCCAAACACACTGTGGAATCCATTAAAACACTGAAAACCTGCTTTGTCTCTTGTGAGATCTTGTTGTCCGGGCCTAGGGTGTGATGGTGTTCAATAGAGGGGTTTTTCTACAATTCTACCTTGAAAAGAAGTCTAAACACGCTAAAGGAATTTAGGAAGTTTGATATCAAATGGGGTAATAAGATTGGGTCTGTGTAAACTACTGTGCTAAAGGGTGGCGTATAATACAGGTGCAGGACTTTTGCATTATACCTCTGATGGCCCATCAAAGCCCATTCCCCCTGGACCAATCTTGAAAGGCAGGAAAATCTCTTTTCCCAGGCCCCTCACGGGAACTCTGCGCAGGCCCGGGAGATGTTGGGGGTTCGTGGCACGGCCTGGGACACTGTCCATGGATATAATAACTCATAACTTCTTGGAGTGTGGGGGCTTCCCTCCCCCACCCCCAATGGATCAAGGCCACCACTTCAACTGACAGGCACTGGAGCTGCAACTGCCAAGTTCCATCTCTGGACCCCGTGGGCAGTGACTATAGACATCCTTCCACTCTCGTCTCTGCTTTCCCTTACTCTCCCTTACCCTTATCCTGCCTTTCCCTTATGCATTTTCCCTAAAGGTTCTCTTTATGCCATATTGCTGTAGATGAGAGATAGAGATGATAACACCCAAAATGGCAACATACCTGTTTACCTTGGAAACAACATTGTTCTAAACTAAACCCTACATATATATGTTTTCAAACACCAATTATTCAGTATCGTTTCACTCTAATCCACCCCAAGGGATTTATTAATAAGAACTTGGGTTACCCTCCCCTTTCTGGGATGGGTAGTAACAGACCCCTTGTAGCAGGATGTTCTACCTGTAAAAGAATCTCATCAGAGAATGCAAGCAATGCAAGCTCTCGGTGGGGAGTTCCTGCTGGTGCCAAGGGGTTGGTTTAGTGTTGAATTGTGCCAAACTCAGCCTGGTTCCCCAGCCTTCCAACACACATCCTGCTTTTGGAAGCAGAGTTTGACAGATCAGCTGCTCACTGGCCTGGGAATATATGACTGTTGATCCATCAGTGGATAAGCATAAAAGCCCAGGGCCAACTTTGACAGAGCAGATTCTTCCACAGACTTAGTTGAAGTGTGTGCAGTTTCTGCTGTGAAGCAGGGACAGTTCTTGATGGTCCCTGCCCAGGGGGTAAAAGAAAGAGAGAGCTCTGCCTTGATTTATTTCTATCAGATCCCGCCGGGCCCTCCCCGCTTCCTGCCGGAATCGGACACCGCCGGCGGCCCCGGCCCTGCTGGGCTCCATCAGCATGAGGAATTGCTCCCAAGGAGGGGTCAGGGGCTTCCTCTTGGCCTTCATCTCCCTGGCGCTGGGGCTCGGCTTCTACCTGTGCCAGAAGGTGAGGGGGGTCCCAGGGGGTCGTGTGTCCCCCCTGAGCATCTGTGCCCCCCCAGGGACCCCCCACCCCGGTGTCACCCCCTTTTCTCTTCCCACAGAGCTCCTGAGCCACGGGCGGCCGCAGCCCCTCCCCAGGGCCTCAGGCCCAGCCTGGACCCCCCCCGTCCCTGCAAGGTTTATGGGGGGGTCGTGTGTCCCCCCCTCCCCTGCTTTTATTCTGACACCACCCAGCTGCTCCCAGTGATCCCAGGAAAGCTTCCCAGTTTTCTCCAGTCACAGGTCTGGGAGGCAGTGGGGGAGGGGCTTGGGGGAATCCCAAGGGTTGGAGCTGAGTTTGGGGGGAGCAGAACCGGCCCCGGGATGGATCGGGAAAGGGGACCCCCCTGTGTCCCCTGTGTCAACCTTCTCTGGGGGGGCTTTGGGAGGGCCCAGCTCACACCAAAAGGTGCTGGGAACCCCCCTACACTTCCCCAAAGCCCCTCAAGGACCCCCAAATGCACTCAGAGCCCACCCAGGACCCCACCCAACCCCTTTTCTGGGGGACTTCTCTGGGCACTGGTGGTGCTGGGAGCCCCCCCGGCTGCGGGCGAGGAGCTCTCAGGTGAGCGGGGGGTGGGAAGGGGGCAGTCGGTGGGAAAAGGGGGGTCAGAGGGGATAAAGGGGTGGTGGGACCCCAAACTGAGTGGGAGGGGAGTGGGACCCCCCAAAAGTGGAGGGGGAGGGGCACTGAGGTTTGGGGGATGATGGGAAATGGGTGGGAGAGGTCAGAAGAGTGGGGAAAAGGGGAGGGTGGGACCCCCAGACTGAGCATGAGGGGGCTGGGGAGTGGGGGGATGATGTGGAAGGGGTGGGAAGGGGGGCAAAAAGTGGGGGTTGGGACCCCAAAAGTGATCCTGGTTGGGCTGGGGATTGAGGGGACCACAGAAAAACGGGAGGAACAGGGAGAATGGTGGAAAAGGAGGAGTGGTCTGGTGGGTCCGGCAGTCACATGGGGGTCTTTGGAAACCAGGTTTTGGGAAAGGGAGTGGTTCCCCTGAGCTCCCAGCTTACTGTGGGGTGCTGGGGGCTACTGCATCCAATCTCAGCCTTGGATGATGCCAACACTTTCAGTTTAGAGAAATTACAGAGGTGTGACTGAACCACTTTTGTCCCCGAGGTCTTAATGATGGCAAATCAGATCTACTGATAGAAATGAATTTATTTAGGGTTATGATGCCGTGGAATGTTGATGCTAAAAAATAACTCAGGAGCAGTTAATTAGGGGTGAGATAAGGAAAGGGTTTAATTGTGCCAAGGCAATAGGTGTTACAAGACCCATGCACCTCTGTGCCCGAGATGTTACATTTTATAAAACCATCCCTCCAATCCCAAGTGTATCCACCCTGTAGCCTTTGCTCTGATCTGTCCTGGGTCCACCCCCTGAGAATTGGGTCTGGGGGCCTTTCCTTCATCATCTTCACCATTTTCAGAGCACAAAGGTACACAGTCACCTAGTTCTTGACTCTGTTTTGTTATTCAGGCCCTGACATGGGTGTTCTCTAAACAGCATAGGCCTTGCCTTGACAAGAGACTAAACATCACCACTGAATTCAGGGGTAGATTTGATATGGGGAGCATAGAATGGGGTAAGAGGGTTAAGGAATGTGTAAACTACTTGTACTACAGGGAAAGGGAGTGAGGGCTGCTGCTTTTAAAATCTACTTCTACTACTTATAAAACTTACAAGGCTTACAAAAATTAGAAAAATAAAAGCTAATAGGGGCTTAAGGCATCAGTTATAAGTGATCAGACAAAAGATCTTAATCAGAATTATTTACTGCACAACAGAAACACTAAAACTACCAGGAGTACAGAATAAGATAGGACAATGCTCTACACTAAAGCAATTGTTGAAGCAATTCTATTAAAGCTGGCACAAAAGAACTAATTCTTAATTAGAGTTGGATGGAACTCCCCCAGACCAACGCTCGGGGGGAAATCTCTGCTCTCAACCTCCAGCAGTGACCTTGGGGGGTCCCCAGCCAAGGCAGGAATCTCCACACACACCCCCAGAAAGGTTCTGTTGGAAGAACCTGCGCCTGTGAAAGGGGACTGGCCCTTTGTGGTCGAAAGGGATGGAGTGACAGTCACTGGACTCCAACGGGTTGCCTCCTCATCAGGGGGTTCATTCGGGGTGGAAGCAGCAGCCAAAGCTCTTCCTGTAGGTGGGGCACTGGTTGGACTTCTCTTACTGGTGGGTCCATTGGTGTTGGGTCAAGCCAGAGCTGTGAGTGAAGCTCTTCCCACACTCCTCACACTTGTAGGGCCTCTCCCTGGTGTGGATGCGCTGGTGACTGACTAGATTGTTGTTCTGGCTGAAGCCCTTCCCGCAGTCGGTGCAGCGGAAGGGCCTCTTATCCGTGTGTGTCTGCTGGTGTAGGAGGAGATCTGAGCTGCTCTGAAACCTCTTCCCACATTCCAAGCACTTGTAGGGCCGTTCCCCAGTGGGGATGTGCTTGTGTCGGATCAGGTTGGATCTGCAGTTGAAGCTCTTCCCACATTCCACACACTCATAGGGCCGTCCCCCAGTGTGGATGTGCTGGTGGGTAAGGAGGTTGAAGCTGCAGTTGAAGCTCTTCCCACACTCCCCACACCCACATTCCCCACACATGTAGGGCTGTTCCCCAGTGTGGATATGCTGGTGTTGGATCAGGTGGGAGCTCTTCCTGAAGCTCTTTCCACATTCCCCACATGGGTAGGGCCGTCCCCAGAGTGGATGCGCTGGTGGGTAAGGAGGTTGGTGCTCCTGCTGAAGCTCTTCCCATACTCCAAGCACCGGAAGGGCTTCTTCCTGCTGGGAGGCTGATCAGGGACCACCAGGTCAGAGCTCTGGCTCAAGCTCCGGCCACCTTCCCCACACAGGCTGGTTCTTTCCTCCTCAGAGCAGCCTTGGCTGGCTTTGGAGCCCCTCCTGCAGGGGATCTCCGGCCCTTTTCCTCCCCGCTGCCTTCCTGTGCCGTGGAGCCCTTCAAAACGGCCTCTCCCACCAGAGTCTCACAGGGGGATTTGTCCTCCGGGCTCTCCAGCCTCAGCTCGGGCCCTGGGGCAGGAAGCAAGAAGGACAGGGAGGGGATTTGCCTCCGGCCCACAGGGAAGGCCAAGGACATCCCCCCAACTCCGGCCCCGGCAGGACGGCGGCGGCAGCGGGGTCGTCCTGCAGCCGGGGCCATGTTCGGCTGACAGAGCCAGCACAACACCCGCCCAAAGGGCCACTGACTTCCTCCTCACCTGCCTGGGGGGCCCAAGACATCTTCCTCTTCCTCGCAGCCTCCTCCTCCATCCGCCCAAGCTTTGGGAAGGACAAATCTTGCTGGGGGGGAAAACAAGGGCTGAGTGCGTTGGCTTGGGGGTTCCTCCTGCACAAGTCCATCTCTAGAACTCACCAGGCATCCTGTGTCCATAAAAACCTCCAAAACACCAAGATTCAACCCAGAAAAACCCAAACCACAGTGATTCAGGCAAAAAACCCCCTCAGAACTAGCAAGAAGACTCCTGCCCCCCTAAACTGCAAAAAAGTTGAGATTCAGCTGACAAATACTCCAAAATATCTCAAAAAATAGCCCAAAAAATCTCTCCCAGAAGTTCCCTCTCTCTGGTCTCTCCTCTCTGGGGTTCAGAGAGTCTCCCTTGTCTGGCATGCTGGGGTCCCACTTAGCAATGCTGGGAGTGTTGGGGGCCCCAAGAGTCCTTTCTCTGATTCTTGCCTTCGAGGTGCCACATTCCCAGACATTCCTCCTCTCCAGGTTCTCCACTTTGTTGTCCTTGGGATCCCAGATGTCCCCACTGTCCAGGCTTCCCCTTCTCCAGGCTCTTGGGGCTCTCGCAGCTCCCCCCTCTCTCCAGCCTCCCTCGCTCTCCAGGAATCAAGGCATGGGGACACCAAGGCACCCCCACGCCAACCCCCCTCCCCCTCTCCCCCCCCCCCCTTAGCCCCCCTCTGCCAACCCTTTCCACAGCAGGAGAACAGTCGCCCCCCCATCCCATGGGTACCTGGGAAAGGGGAACTCGTCCCAAATATCCTGGGGAGACCATGGGGGGTCAGGACATAATCGGGCCGCCAGCACAGATTTCCCTGCAAAGTCTGCAGGGAGTCAAGCTCTGCAGAGGAGATTGTGCCCCATGGATGGGATTGCAGAGGGGCCCTCAGGTTCCCAGCATCAATCAGCAACCAGGAATAGACACAAAAGGCCCCACCAAAGATTTGGCGGGAGTGTCCTGGAGGGAGGGGACAGTGTCACCCCACCAGGGCAGGGCTGGCAAGTGGGAGGCTGCTCCAGGGGTCTGCAAGAGGCCTCGTGCTCTGCTTGGCCCCAGCACTGGTTGGTACCAACAGCCCCGGCTGCCCCCGGCCCTGGGCAGCTCTGCTGCCACAGGCTGTGCCCTCACCGTGGCCCTGCAATGGTCCTGCCTGTCCCTCACCCGTGGCCCTGTCCCTTGGCTCTCTCTCTGCCAGCTGAGTGTGGGGCACACGGGTTGGGGGTCCCTCCCAAGCCCCCCAGGCAGCCAGCGTTGGCTGGGGGGATGTGAGGGCTGAGGCTGCTCAAATCAGTGCCCGCAGCTCCGCAGCAAAGCCCCAGCTCACCTGGCACACAGGGGATGGACACAGCACCTTCTCGGGGATGGGCAATCACAGCTCTATCTCTTCCCCACCACGGGGCTCTCCTTCCTCAGCAGCACCTCTGCCTTGCACTTATTCTCAGGCTCACCTCAGGGACAGCTCTGGCCTCACCTCCGCGCCACTTCTCAGCCTCACCTCAGGGCCTGGACTCAAGGACAGGAACCTGTAGGGAGGGGACATGAGGTGCAAGCTGAGGACTGCCTGCTTGCACTGGCCTGGGGGCTTCTTTCTTCTTCTACAACCATCCCAGAACTTAGCCTGCTTTGCTAACACCACACATTTACACACTAACCTTGGAGATAGATATGGACAGACATCTCTATCACCCTGTGGACAGAGCCTCAAGCATGTGCTGCCATAGGAATGGGAATCAGAGAATCACAGAATCAGCTGGGTTGGAAAAGACCTCCGAGATCATCAAGTCCAACCCTTGATCCAACACTGCTGTGCTTCCCAGACCATGGCACTGATGCCACATCCAGTCTCACCTTCAACACCTCCAGGGACGGTGACTCCACCCCCTCCCTGCCCAGCCTATTCCAATGCCTGATTACTCTCTCGGCAAAAAATTGCTTCCTAATATCCAACCTCACCTCCCCTGGCACAGCTCAAGACCCAGCCCTCTTGTCCTACTGCTGCTTCCTGGCACAAGAGCCCCACCCCCACCTGACTACACTCTCCTGGCAGGGACTTGCAGAGAGTCAAGAGGTCTCCCCTGAGCCTCCTCTTCTCCAGCCCCAACACCCCCAGCTCCCTCAGCCTCTCTTCACACCACCTGTGTTCCACTCCCTTCCCCAGCCTCGCTGCTCTTCTCTGCTCCTGCTCCAGCCCCTCCAGGGCCTTCCTCAACTCAGGGGCCCAGAGCTGGACACAGCACTCCAGAGGTGGCCTCACCAGCGCTCAATCCAGGCCAACAATCCCTTCCCTGCTCCTGCTGACACACTCTTCCTCAGCCAGGCCACCATCCATTGGCCCTCTGGGCCACCTGGCCACACTCTGCCTCCTGTTCAGCTTCCTGTCCATCCCCATCCCAGCTCCCTTTCTGCCTGCCTGCTCTCCAGACACTCTGGCCCCAGCCCGGGGGGGCTGACGGGGCTTCTTGTGGCCAAAGGGCAGGACCCAGCCCTTGGCTTGCTTGAACCTCATCCCCCTGGAATCAGCCCATGGATCCAGCTTGGCCAGGTCCCTCTGCAGAGCCTTCCTGCCTTCCAGCACATCAACACACCCCCAGCTTGGTGTCAGCTGCACATTTGCTGATGAAATGCCTGGTTCTGCAGGAGCTGCAGATGCTCAAGGGGCAGCAGGACCAACTCAGGGGCCTGGGGGGCTCTGGGGGGCTTTGGGGTCTGGGAGGGTCCTGGGGGAGCTGGGGAGGGGTTTTGGGGATTGGGGGTACAAACCAGGACAGACCAGGACAGACCAGGACCTCCTCACTGCTCCCCAGATCTCTCCTGGAGCTGGGCCACGTTGTCATGGGACACCTGAGCCCCCCCAGTGCCCTCCAAGTACAGCCCAGTGCCCCCAGTACAGCCCACTGTGCTCCTGTCCCATGGTGCTGGGTGATCCCTCTTTACAGAGAGGGGTTGGAAAGAATTTGAGGGGGGGGGGGCAGGGGAAGATTTGGGGGGATCTGCAGGGGGTTAGATGAGGATTTGGGGGGTTTTGGGGTGCTTTGGGTGCATTTAGGGGAGTTTAAAGGGGTTTTGGGGGATCAAAAGCATCTGTGGGGGGGAGAGGATTAAAGGGAAAATAGGGGCTAAGGGACATTTGGGGGGGGTTAAAGGGGCCTGAGGGGGAAGAGGAGGAGCTCTGCCATGAGCAGCTGAGTCCTTAGACACCCCCCCCCCGGTGTCCCCAGGACCCTCTTGGTGTCCCAGTTCCCCCCCTTGACACCCTGAGACCCTCCTGGTGTCTCCAGCGTCCCCAGGGCCTCCCCAGGGGCCCAGTTCCACCCCCTGAAACCCCAATTCCACTGTCCCAAACCCCTCCCCAACGTCCTCAAACCCCATCCCTGATGTCCTCAACCCTCCATCTCACCCCAGGAGCCCCCCTGGACCCTCTGACCCCAAAAATGCCCCCCCCCCCCCTTCCCCAGTCACAGAAAGGCCAAGGGCATCTGAAGACATGTTGGGGACAGCTGGGGGGGCTTTGCAGGGCACTGGGTGATTACTGGGGGATACTGGGGGGAACCAGGGGGCACTGGAAGGGATTGGGGGGTTACTGAGGGACACTGGGAGGGACTGGAGGTGAACTGGGGCACACTGGGGGGCACTGGCAGAGAACTGGGGAGTTACTGGGGGATGACCAGGACACACAGGGGGACACTGGTAGGTTACTGGGCCATACTGGGGGTTACTGGGTGCTCACTGCAGGATCACTGGGCCATACTTCAGGCAGTGGGAGGTCACTGGGACACACTGGGTGGTCACTGAGGGGGTAACTGGGCCATACTAAGGGTCATTGGGAGGTTATTGGGATATACTGGGGGCACTGGGATCCCCTTACCCAGATGTAGCATATTCCCCCCCCCCGATTTTGGGGGGCATCCCTAGGACCCCTCCCCTGGGAGCTGGAGGACCCCCTGAACCCACTGCTGGGCTTTAGGGGACTCCCCAAAATCCCCTCAAAACCCCTGAAATCCCCTCAGAAATCCACCCCTCCACCTGTCGAAACCTCCTCAAAATCCCCTCAGAGACCTCATCCCCCCATCCCCCCGGACCCCTTAAACTTCCTCAGTGACCCGCAAAACCCATCTGGGACCCCCCAAGCCTATTCAGGGACCCCCCAATCCCCCTCAGGGACCCTAAAAACCGTCTGAGACCCCGTAAACCCCCTAGAGACCCAAAAATTGCCTAAAAGGTCCCCGTAAAGCCCCCCAGGAACCCCAAACGTCCTGAGAGACCCTCAAAGCCTACCCGGGAACCCCTCAAATCTCCTCAGAAACCAAAACCCCCTCAGAGACACCCAAATCCTTTCAGGGACTTTCAATCTCCCCCCTGAGTCCCCTCAGGACACCAAACCCCCTCAGGGACCCCTCAAAACGTCCCCGGGAACCCCCGAACCCTCGCGCTAAACCCTCCCGAGCCATGCGGCCTTCCCACCCACAGCCGCGCTCCCCGCAGTCCCCGAGGGGATCCCCAGAGCCCCGTTCTCCCGCACCCCCCGCCAGCCCTCACAGACCCGCCGCCATCACGCATCGCCGGCAGCCAACACGGCGCTCTGCGCGCGCACCGCCCTTAGAGAACACCGCCGCAGCCAATCAGTGCGCGGCCACGCCCCCACACGCCCGCAGCCGCGCCTGCGCTTTGCGCGGGGCACCACGGGAGTTGTAGTCCTTGCGGCGGATCAAAGCGGCCCTTTGCACTTGAACAGAAGTATGACAGGACGGTTTGGTTTTTTTCTTTTTCTGTGTTTTTTTTTCCCTCTTTTTTCTTTCTTCTTTCTTTTTTCCCCTTTTTTCTTTCTCTTTTTTGTTTTTTATCTTTTTTTTTTCCCCATTTTTTTCCTTATTTTCCTTTCTTTTTTTTCCCTTATTTTCCTTTCTTTTTTTTTCCTTTTTTCTTCTTTTCTCTCTTTTTACTTTCTCTTTTATTTTTTTCTTTTTTCTTTTTTTTTTTACATTGTTTACTATCAGTTGTATTTTCAAAGAAGATTTAAACACATATCAAAACAATCTCCACGTACATATCTTACAACAACCGATAATCTGGCATTGTTCCAGGTTCGTGAGGATTCCCAAGATCATAAACACTGAGACACCAAGGGTGGAAGCCAAGCAACTTTATCCTGTCCCTTGCCATAGCATTCAATCCACACCCAGCCCTGGATTTCTGCAAAACCGCTGGGCAGGAGCAGGAGATGGAGCTGGTGCTCGGCAGGAAGGGCAGGCAGGTCGTGCATCTTCTGTTAGAGGCACTTCAATGGTCCAGGAGATCCAATGGTTCCAGGGCTGTGTGTCCATTCTTCAGGCATCCAGCCCTGGCACAACCCCCGACCTCGAAGCGCCCCCCTGGGATGCCCAAGTGTCCCCCAAATGTCCCCCCCAAAAACTGCCCCATAAGTGCCCCCCAGGATCCCCAAGTGTCCCCCCAGTACCAACTCTTTATTCCTGTTTATTATTTCACTTCCTGGGTGTCTAAAACATTTTTGGCACGGTTTTGCCTTGGGGGAGCTGAACCTCATTGCTGGCAGCGGGGACTTGGCTCACAGCTGAGGAGGGTCTGTTACCAAAGGTGACCCTTATGAGTTTCAGATTGCTGCAAGAAAAGAAATAAAAAACCCTCTTTGCTGGGTGCAGCCAGTTCTGTGAGCAAAGCAGGACCCGGAAGACTGAGCAGAGACAGGACGGGGTTGGGAAATGTGGAGCAAGGTTGTCCACACTGTGTCAGACCTCAAGGGAAAGCTCCAACCAGTCCAAACCTCCTTAGGAGAGACCCTGGATCCATATCAATCAGAAAATGATGCAATCAACTCTTCTCAAAGGAGAAAAGTAAGAAACTACACCCTTGAAAAGAAGAATGCATGTTTATTAGAACCTCTTTGAAGTATTTCTGTGTATTAAGAAAACTTCCTGATTAACTGCACTAAACTAGAGGAAAATCAAGGCAGAGCTGTAGTTTCTTAGCACTTGATGGATTTTAAGGAGCCCCGTGGTCCCCACGGTGCACTTGGTGCTGAGTCCTTGAACCTCAGGTGAGGTTCTCCTCTGAGAGGAGATTGCACAAACCTTTCCATGAGTCCAAGTCAGAAGAGAAACTCAACGTATCTCAAAGCATTAATGGGTCCCACTGAGGGCCATTCCCAATCCAGGCTCCTCAAGGACTCCTCAAAGGAGATCACTGCAGGCCATGATTGCACAAATCTGTCACAGACTTTGTGTCAAAAGCAAAAGCCAAAGTGCCCTTAGAAACTGAACTACTTCAAAGAATTAATGAGCCCCACAGAGTGTCACAACTGACAAAGCCTCTCAAGGGACTCATTAGAGCAGGTAATTGCAGAGGATTGCACAAACCTCTCCAAGACTCATCGTGGAAAGCAAAACACAGTCCTGTGAAAATCCTGCAGTCCCTTGAAGCATTAACGAGCCCCACTGAGTGTCCCAACTGACAGAGTCTCTCAGGGGACTAATTAGAGCAGGTCATTGGAGGCCATGACTGAACAAACTTCTCAGAGGCTCAGTGTCAAAAAAAGTACCTTAATAAACCCTGAATGCCTTGAAGCATTAACGAGCCCCTCTGAGGGTTGTCACTGTCTGAGGCTCTCAAGGGACTCATTACAGCAGGTAATTGGAGGCCATGGTTGCACAAACCTCTCAGAAACGCAAAATGAAAAGCAAAACCCAAATTGCTCTGAAAATCCTGCAGTCCCTTGAAGCATTAAGGAGCCCCCCAAGGACCATTCCTGACAAAGCCTCCCCAGGGACTCTCCA